TGTTTTGTGTTGAGGACATTATTTTAATTTCTTAGCATGTTGACCATATCTTATATTACTTCAGTCACATTTCTGAAAATATAGATATACTTTCTTTACTTTTTTTTTTAAATTGGAGTATAGTTGATATACAATATATGTAAGCTTCAGGTATACAACATAGTGATTCACATTCTTTGAATTAAAAAAATTTTTATTGAAATGTAGTTAATTTACAATGTTGTGTTAGCTTCTGGTGTACAGCAAAGTGATTCAGTTACATATGTATATTCTTTTTCATATTCTTTTCCATTATGATTACGAGATACTGAATATAGTTCCCTGTGCTATACAATAAGACCTTGTTTATCTATTTTATATACAGTAGTTTGTATCTGCTAATCCCAAACTCCTAATTTATCCCTCTCCTACCCTCTTTCCCCTTTGGTAACCATAAGTTTGTTTTCTATGCTTGGTGATTCGCAATTTTTAAATTTTTAAAAGAAGTGTCCATTTATAGTTGTAATAAAATATTGGCTATATTTCCAGATGTGCTTTATTTTCCATTATTTTGGTAAGACAAGAACTGTGTGAGGCCAAATGGGATGACAGTCTCCCCTGTCAAATCAGCACTCTTCACTTGTCCCTCCTGAAGCCCACTCTCCCAGGTCCCAGGTAGCTCTGCCCTCCCTTTTTGACTGCTATGTCTTTTGAGGTCCTCTCTTGCCTCTGGGTTCTCTTTCCTCCAATTTGTTCTCCTGGTTCTGCCTCCTTGAAGCATAATCACATGACTTCCCTGCTCTGAACTTCACTCCTGTTCTTTACAGCCTACCCGGTGAAACCTGGTCTCTCACCCGCATTTAAGACCTTCCACGGTGTTTGAAGCCTCCTCTCTGCCTTTCCTTCCCCCACTGTCCTTTTTTGCACCCTAAACTCTGAGTACTGTAACTACAGTCTCCACTTTCCCATCTCTTGATTTTCATACACTTCTCTTCACTGTTTGAAATGTCCTTTAACTTCTGTGATACATGGTAGCACTAATGAGATTAGGTCACTTTCCAAGTTACAACTCTGCTCTTCAGTTATTGACAGGAAAGCCATCACAGTTGCCAGGTGCAAGTGACTGGAGTTTGTGGTTTTCATCTTCAGGAAGTTACCCTAGCATAACCCATTTCCACAAATTCTATTGGGTTGTAGCACTAAAACTGTGTTCTCCAGGGATTTAGACACAGTGTGGAAACTCTTGTACTTAAGATTATCACAGATAGGAAGAGAAAAATCAACTTTTTGTGTAAACATTGTAGCCACTGAGAAAAGCAAAATAATTATCTCTTTACCAGCTAAGGTATTTAGTGGAGACAGTAGACAAAGTAAGCAAGATAGTGAGGAAAGATCGTATGCTGTGTCTTGGGCTACAGTTTTCTTTGTGAGGCAATTTAGGCTGTTTAACCCCAAATTAAGACAAAACTGTCTTTTGTGGAAGTGATGTGGGCTTTGAATCAAAACCATGGGCTACATTCTGTACAGGAAATAGAAGTGTCTCATTTCTTATTTTTGTTGTGAAATGCACTTTGCTATATTGACGCTAACTTTATGTAAATATACTCTGCTGGTTATTCTGGTTGTCTTTAATGTCTTTACTATTTTAAGGATCCTTTCTTCTGTATTTTACAGAGTGATGGAGCTTGCTTTATCTGGCCTCCACTGTGCATTCTCTGCATTAACTTAGTGCTACACGGGACAGTCTTGTCTCTGGTAGAATAGAATACATCCTTTGCCCTGAGGGGCTTGAATAAGACATGAGTGGAATGTGTGGGGAGTGTGCTGGACAAAAACGTTGTGTCTAATGGGAAAAATTCAGGCTGTGGGAGGATTAGTCACACGATTCATAGGAAAAATTCTGTTGCAAAGATAATGGATCATTTGCTTCCTGAATGAGCCATTCGGAAGGAACCTTTGCCAAATAACTAAACTCCCCTGGTGAGATTTTGCAGACTCCCTCAAGTACTGGCTAGTGTAGGAGACTTTGTTCAAATCAACCTTTCCAACCTTTCCAACTTTTGATTTATGAATAGTTCTGAAGGTGGGTGTCAGAAGTCTTTTTGGGCTGCAGATGATATCATTAAATTAGAACGTGATTCCTTTTGTGTGTGTTGGTAAAAATTCAGATATGTTTTCTTTTAAAGTGTCAATTTTGGTTATGGTTTTAGAAAGAAACTACCGCTTCCCTTCTCTGAGTTTATTTTTTAATGAGAGCTTTAAGGATTAATCTTCAATGTGGGTTGTCAGAAGGAGTAATCAGACTTGAACTTTATTAATTTAGCACTTTTGGACTTCAGCCCCACACGCAGTTGATCTGCAAGGTAAAACAAGACCTTGTGCAGTTTCTAATTAAAATAAAGTTTTGTTGCCACTTGGTTGACTTCCTAGTTTTTGAATAAAACTGAGTCACCTGGAAATTTGGAATTTGAACATGACCATATAAATCTTACTGTCCTAACCAAGTTTTTGAAACTTAATTAAAACAAATATTCCTAATATTTCTGGCTTCAGTAACTATGAGAGATGATTGATTATATCTGAACCATGTATTGATTGGTCATTTTTAATGCAGAGCAGTAATCCCCCCTGAAGGTTATAGAAGGCATTATACTTTATCATGGTTGTTGTCCTTTTAAAAATTGTACAAAATGTCCATATGAACATTAATTATAGTCTCAGAACAAGCTCTTTTACAAAGTACGTATAAGTAGAAACCTTACAAAATTCACTTTTTAACTCTCACACTTACTGTATGCAGCGAACTAAAGTCTGGTCGTAGCTTCCCAGAGTCAACGCAGTGTGGTAGGGGAGATAAGAGGTGTCAGAACATGAGGGAGGACCAGGACAGCCTCACATCAGTTGAATTGACCAAAGTACCAGGTGTTGATGAGAAGCTGCTTCCTTCTAGCTGGGAAGATTGATGAAAGAGTTGGAAATTGTACTTTTGAGCTGGATTTTGAAGGATGTAGGAAAAGAGACTAGTGAAGTGGAAAACGATCCTCGAGCCAAGGTGTGATTACACAGGCTGGAGACAGGACACACCAGCAGTGTGTGTGATGCAGAAGGGCCGGGGCATTCCTTAGGTGTGGTTAGCAAGATGCACCCCTCCCCTTCTCCCTCACCTCTGCTGCTGGACTAGGGGGACAGAGACAGAGAGAAAACCTTGATGTTACCCCGTGGTCTTCTCTTCTCCTTTACCTTCCCATTTACTACTATAGGATGGTAAGAAGTTACGGAGAATAAGACAAGGGAAGAGGAATGGGGATGGAGTGGGCAAAAAGAACTGCAGTATAGCACAGGGGGCTTCTTTACCATATTCTTTCTCTTTCCTTTTTCAGTGTTCTCTCCCTCTCCTAAGTTTGGCAGAGCCCATCAGAGGGAAAAGCAAGGAAAAGGTGGGTAGGGGAATTTCTATAGATGACGATTCATATTCAGTCTGCCTATTATTATCTGGGATTAAAGAGCATAGATTGAATAGTATTTGCAGAAAATAAACATAATGCTGAGCATACAAAAAATAATATTGATGAATCCTAACCCTAGTTCTTCTATGCCACCATCATAGTTATCAATTCAGTTTTATCTAGGAATTATAATATGCACAGAATTGTCTTACAACACAATAGAAAATTTTAAATCCCTTTTTAAATTTTTGTAGAGGTGAAGAGGCATTTAGAACAAACACTTTTTTGCAGAAAAATGGTATTTAAAGTGTATCACAGCATAAGAAACTGGGTGGACAGACATGTTTTTGCACTTTTATTAAATCATAACTTTTCAGAATACCTGTTTGTGCATTGTCTTTTTTTTTCCTTTCAATAAGTAAAAAAAAAAAAAAAACTAACACAGAATGAAAGACTAGGCTTGAAAAATAATCAAACCTGGGCAGAAGCTTGTAAGGTTCATTAGGTCCCATTTGTTTATTCTTGCTTTTATTTCTATTGCTTGGGTAGACTGCCCTAGGAGAACATTTTTGAGATGTATGGTCCTCCTTTTAAACTTAAAGTGAACATGTTTTATCTTCTCATAAAGTATTCTTTCTTTGCCTTCTGAGGAATTATGTCAAGTTGAACACTATACTTTGTCA